GAGTCTGACTTGCTGAAGAAGTGTACCTATACATACACACTTTGGAGTAGATGCTTCAAATTTGAGTAAGAAGTCTGGAATATATATTTAGATGTTACCTGCATATAGGGGCATTCTGTAACCTTACTGCTGCACTCCTAAGAGCTGTACCTGATTCTGATAACCTTTTAATGTTATCCTATAATTAAATGCACTCTTATAACCCCAAAATAACTATGTCATGATATTTAAATATGGACTGATGGTGAAGGCTGACATCATTCTAATCTGTATGTAAGAGCACCATGATTCTAGGCACTGTTGGGAAAAAATTTGTGACTGTATTACTTATCAAGAGATTTCATGTAGGTACACTGTTTTCATGATTTCTGTTTATGGTATTAAATAACAAAATGTGTCTTATTCTTTTCTATCAGGTATTTACAAATGTACTTTTACTCATAAGAAGTTGGGAATCACCAAAGAACAGCTGGCTGGAAAAGTATTGCCTCATTTGATTCCACTGAGTATTGAAAACAATCTTAATCTCAATCAGGTAGGAGGATTATTTATACTTCATTCAGTTTACTGGTTTTTTTTAACATTAAGTATATAATTATACGATATATAAAGATTGATAAAATAAAGAAAAATATGCCATCAGAGTTAGATGAAGAAAGTTTGTGGTTTCAAAGTAAAAATGTACATGAGGTAGAAGGATGGATTTTTGAAGGCTTAGTTGGGAGATAGTAAATGAGCAGGATTTTGAAAGCTGTGTAGGATTTGTGGCTACTTCAGATTTGAGGCTGAGAAATTGACGTGAACAAAGACAAAGTCATGGCATTGGGGAGTATATTAGTTATTTGTTGCTGCGTAACAAATCATCACAAACGTAGTGGATTAAAACCACACGTTTATTATCTCACAGTTACCGTGGGTCATTCAAGCCAGGGCATGGCTTAGCTGGATGTTCTGCTCAAGATCTCCCACAAGACTGCAGTCAAGGGCCATAGTCTCATCTAAAAGCTCAGCTGGGGAAGGAAGTTTCTAAGCTTGCTTACATGGTTGTCGGCAGGATTCAGCTCCTTTTGGGGTGCTGGATTAAGGGCCTCAGTTCTTAACTGTTGGCTAATTGTAATCCTCAGTTCCTTGCCAAGTGGACCTCTCCAGCATGGCAGATTGCTTCATCAAAGCCAGTAAGGGAGGTAGTCTGCTAACAAAACAGAAGTTACAGTTTCATATACTGTAATCAAGAAAGTTACATCCCATTATTTTTGCCATAATCTGTTGTTTAGAAGCAAGTCACAGGTCCTACCCACACTCAGAAAGAGGGGATTATGGAGGGACATGAGTACCAGAATGAGGTTTTAATTGGTGACCATCCTAGAGAATGGATGTAGGTAATCCCTGACTTAGGAGGGGATTCTATTCTGATGACTCTGTCTAAGTCTGTTCTGATGTAAGTCAAGTACCTCCTTTTTTTTTTAGTTTTCATTATTATTGCCTTTTATTATCAGTATCTTTATAAATCCAAACTTGTCTTTAGGGGTTAGAAACATTACATATAAACTTAAAGATATATTTTAATATGTACATAGATAAAAAAATACACAAATCATAAAAATTTACTCCGACGAGAAAGAGTTGGATGATGTTAGCATTTTGTCAGTTGTGGGGATAACTCCACTTGCAGAAGGTTCTGGATCATCTGGATTATCCCTGGAATGGGATGACATTTCTAGTCAGAAAATTAGTGACAATTGTCTGTATGGTCCTTTACTTTTTTTCTTCATATATTTTGCAATAGCATCTAACTGATCCTGAATCTGCCTTTCGACTTGAGCAAAGCGTTCAGCATTGGGTCTGTGTTTTCAAGCAACTCAAACTCCTGATTTAGTATAGAAAACTGAATCTACAGAGCAGTGTTTTGAACAGTAAATCATAAAATTGAACATCTGCCAGTGAACATCTGAGAATAACATCAGCAAGTTATGTGCTGCAACATTGTATGTAGTACATATTACTAACGATTAGATGTACAAAAAAACAAAAAGGGATGGTTGTAAGTTGTAACTCGAATACATCATAAATCAGGGACTACCTGTAGTCCAATTTCACAAGAGGGGCATAGGTAGAAAAGATAAATTAAGACTAAAATAGGTAGATTTTAAATGCCTGTCTGGTTTAGGTATATAAACTTTCAGGATGTAGTAAATGTTTGATTAGAGGGATATTGTTTTCAGAGATTACCATAGAATTATCTCTCTGCGTACCTCTGTCACTGTAGTTATCACAAGTATATACTTATGTGTCTCATTTTTCCTTGAGATTATAAACTCCTAGTAGGCTAGTACTGTAGCTTATTCTTCATTATATCCCCAGCACCTACTGTAGTGCCGGAAACAAAAATACTTACTGAATTAAGAGAAAACTTGAGGTTCAGAGTAAAGACAAGGCATTTTGTTCACAACAGAACTGGTGTTTAATGAAGTATAATGGAAGAGACTGAGAGTTGTTACTTTTTTAACTGAGGGTGTCAGAGCTTGACAGGCAAGATTTAGAAGTAAGGGCTGAAAGTAAATGAGAGTAATGAAGGAAGCAGAAGGTTGGGAGTTAAATAAGCAAGAGAGCATTTAGCATTGGTGGGTGCTGAGTGAGTAGAGTTGGGGTGGTAGAGAAATTTGTAAAATTAATCAGATCAAACACTTCATTTGAAGTAGTAGAATAAATTTCTGAAAGTTTGTATCACTAGATTTCACTTTTTGGCTTGATAGTTTCTTCATGTCTTAGATTGCAGTGTTGATGTTAGGTTTGGCGGAAAAGGAGACAATGAATATTGGTAAAAAATAGGATGATAACATGACTAAGACAATCCTTGGCTTTTTTCATTTCTGTTCTTCTCATATTTCTGATTCAGGGTGTTTTAAAATATTTCCAAATGCCTGTTTTAGGATATATAACTTCATTTGAAGTGTTATGTTTTCTTCAGCTTTATGATTGATATTTTGGGGGCGAATTTTCATCAGCAGAAATACTATGACTGACATCTTTTGATATTTTAGATACTAGTTCAGCATGGATGTAGTCTCCTTTCCTATTCATTTTGTGAACAGGCTCCTAATTCAGGACTACCCTCTTCTATCTGTTCTCTCCTGGCCTGGGCAGTTTCTTTTATGGATGGTGGGTGGTATTGGTGGAGAGAAGGTGATAGTGATAGGGTCAGCATGTCTTGTTATTTTTTTGCAGGATCCTTAATTTCCCGCTCTTGTTTCCTCCTTTCCCTTCAATGCCTCATCTGTAAGGGGGCCACCTCCTTTCATCTTTCTGATTCTCCCCAAAAGCAGTGTTTCTCTGAGGCCACTACTTCATTCCCACACACTGTCAAGCCTCTTTCCGGTAGCCAGTGCTATGAACCAGCAAGGCCTGACCTGTGTTCAATATTTAGTCATTTAATGTTGGACTTCCTGGAGATGATTTTGTCTGTGCTTCTTCTGAGGCCTCTGCTCTCCTCTATTCTTTTCACCAAGTTCTGTAGCCTCTCCTCCCCTGCTGTCTTCACCCATGGGCTTGCAACGGCAGGTCCAGGAGCTGTGTTGGAATCTTGTGTGTCCTTTACTAGCAGGTAATTTGAAGGCTGTGGTATTCTGTCTCCTAGTAATGCTGCAGGCATGGGTCACATATGGTTTTATATCCTCTTCTTGTTGATTTTATGATTTTTTTTCTTATGACGGTGTGTAGTAAAGTGAAAAATCAGGCAGCAGCCAACTCTCTCCATATCCTGAAATTTTTAATCAAAATTTTTTCCCTTATTTGAGAATGTGGAATTGGACCTGTAGTTATTAAGTTCTTAGAAGATTTATGCAAGATTTGGAGCCAGATAACTTAGGGTCGGGATCTGTAATTGAGAGCAGAAGACCTTGATTCCAGTTTCTATAGTATAACCAGAGCAGGGTTAAAGGAAATAGGTTGTATTGTTGTTATGTGAGGGGCCTACTCTCCATATATTGGAGAAAACTAAACTCTCCTTCATTGATCTGTCAGATCCTTGAGGAAAGGACTATGTTGTCTTTCATGTAACCAGCACCTGGAAAAGTGACTGGCACAGAGTAGATATTCAATGTATGTTTCAGTTAATGAACAAAAAATTAATAAATATTTGTTTATTTATCAGTGCTTTTAGGTAATACATATAATCCATTCTTGAACAGTTGAGCCTTTGTGATTGAAAAGATATGTCAACAGTCCTCAAATTGAGAAAAAGGAACAGGAACTTTTATCATGTAAAAAGTACAGTTGTTGTTAGATGCTGTTGAGTTGATTTCGACTCACAGTGACCCCATGTAAAAGAGTAGAACTGCCCATAGAGTTTTCTAGGCAAAAAGTACAGTAGATTCCATTTTAATTTAAGCATTTGTGACTAGATAATAATATTGGTCCTAGTTTAAAAGTTCTTACATGGCACTAGTTTTTTGTTTAAATGAATGCCTTTCCACTGATTGTATCTTCACATATACAGAGACTGTTTTACTAATTGCCAAACCGTCAGTGCTTAGTACAGTGACTGGTCCGTACTAGGGACTCAAATACTGATCAATGAGTGGCATAACGAAAGAAAGCTTTGCAGAGTGTAGGAAGAAGTAGTTAACCACTGATAAGAAAGCTTGATGGAATTAAAAGCTAAGAACAAAGAACTCTAAAGTAAGGACTTTCCTTGCCTTCCCAAACATCTTTGATCTCAGGAATGGATAATGAAACTAGATAGAAACTGAGAAAATAGTACTAGAACAACAAAGTGTAAGTGCTTTGTTTACTCACTGACACCTCAATAAGATTTATCCAGAAGTTTATAGTTGCGCTTCAGTCAGAAAACATGGAGGGAAGAGATAATTCAACCAATTTATTGTACTTTTCCTCATTGATAATTTGTTAGTTTTTAATAAGCCATGGAAAAATTTAACATCTACTTTTTTTTTTGGCTTTTCAGTGTTAAATTTTCTATTTTTTTATTGCGGAAATATATTTATGCACAACTGCTTTGTCTCTAGCATAAGCAATAAATAAATTGAAAGAAGTTGAAATTTTACCTGAAACTTCTTTGTAATTTTCACCAAATCTAGAACCAGAGGGCCCTTTAGAGATGTAATCTCGGCTGCTCCTTTTTACAGAAAGAGTTGCTGAAAGTCATTCGGCTGTTACTAATAGGAGATCTGATGTAGAGACTGGTTATGTGCCCTTTTGTCTACATTATATTGCTCACAGTTGCTACGTAGGTGTCTATATAGATAAGCATGTATGAGCTTAATAATCACATTAGTTGAGAGAGACAGATAATATCCACCTTCTCTGTGTAGTTGTAATTTCAGGGGAATTTTATGCAACTTGATTAAGGAGAGATCCATTGATGTTAGGATCTGTAATTTACATTTGAGTGTATCTTAGATTTCTGGAACTGTGCCTGCCCATAAAGTACTGATAGGCTCAGAATAGTAAAACCACTGTTAGCCTTTTAGAGTAAAACCTGTGAAAACCAGAATGTGTGTAAGGTGGAAACCAGGCAGAAAAGGAAGACTCATATTTTCTACTAAACCAAGTGATAGAAAAGTGGAAACTCTGTCAGAGGTGGAAAACTTGCAAGACCTGGTAGAACAAGGCAGTCCTGCTGAGTTCCTGCTCTCACAGGTTTCACTGTATGTTGTAATAACAATTTTTTAAAAAATTCAATAATCACATTTTGTATAGGATTAGAGAGTCAAAATACTGCACAGAAGGCAAAAATCAGACATAGCCACGATTACCTTGAAAATGCCTTAAGTTGTTAATAAAGTTCAGTATGGCTGCTTTTATACCTAACTCTTTATGCTGACTAAAGGAACTACTAAACTGACTGAAGATAGTAGTGTCTTTATCTTGCTATTTATACCATTTTGCCTTTATGATAACTATCAAATCCCTAGCTGTGAAAGCATGAGAGCAAGATGGATGGAACATTATAGAATTATAGTACCTTTGTTTGTCTTCAGGATTTATTCCAGTCTGTTTTTAAATATTAAACTTCTGTAGCCTAAATACATGTTGATTTGCTTGTCGTGAGGATTAAATGAAATAGTGGAATTCCATCTTGCCAAAGTGTAAAATCAGAGACTAAATGATAATGCCATTCCAGGTTTTTTCAGTAATACTTTCTTTTAATGTTTTCTTTGTTAAATTTTATCCTTTGTTCTTAAGAACTTTAGGTAATTGTGAAGATCAGTGTAACATGATTTTATATCAGATTTAAAAACATTATGATAACAAGTAAATTTGAAACTTCCTAAAGTATCACTTCTTTTCTTTCAAGATTTCCTCTGGTTTGGTCCTAGCAGCTTCAAAAAAAAAAAAGTAGCCATTCCAGAATAAAATAACACTAGAAAACTAATAATGCTTTCCATTTCATATAGTATTCTGGCTAAAGTGGTATGAAATTATTTAGCTTATAGCTTTAACAGACCAATGGATAATTTATCCTTGATCATGCATACATATTAAAGGGAGAGAAGTTTTAAATGGAAATTAGGAAGAAAAACTAGTAGATTTCAGGATGGTGATCTATTAAAATGGACTTTCAAAGAAAATTGATTTTTTTTTTTTCCTTATATTTTATTTTTCCTTGAGGAAAATAGATGGTCGCCTTTCTCTGTGATAGTTTTGGCTAATGTTTTTCAAATTGTGAGTCAAAGTGCATTAGTGGAGTATAACCATTAGTGGGTGGAAAAATCAGTTCCATAGGCCACAAACATTTTTTAAAAACAGTGAATGGAATAGCAAATATTAGAGTGTATTACATGAAATAGCCAAGTATTACTTTGTGAAACTTGATTTATGCTGCTTGTGTGTGTTATAATTTAAAATGAATGTCTTACTATGAGTTGTGATCAAACAAGTTTGAAAATTACTGGTTCATCTTAGTGGTAAGAATTATGTATGGTATTGAGGAAAGATGGGCAGGGTGTATGTGTATGTGTGTGTGTTTCCCACATACTGTTTTAAAAGATACTATAATTAGGCGGTTATTAAGCTTAGTGCTTGACATCTTTTGTTTTATGCCATTTTCACACATTTGTGTTAACCAATATAATACTGTATGAGGGGAGCATAACAGGAGATGACAGGACCAGTTTTCCTCAGATGTGACGTAAGTTAGTTTCATTGTTAATTGTCCAGCATTCTGATAAAGCTTGAGGGTTTTTGTTTTTCATTTTCATTTCACAAAGAGAGCTAGAGACGTTTTCTGGGCTATAAGCACTTGTAAAATGTATGATGACATACATTTTAATTGTTTACTCCCCTTTATGTGCAAACTTAATGAAACATTGCTAATATTAAAAAGATTGATTTTTCAGGATTTAAAATAAACTTAAGGATATTGTAACGTAAGTGAAAGAGATGAAGAGTAATGTAAGAAAATACACTTTTAACCTTTATTTTAAAAAGTTAGTAAATAGCTTGCAGAAATCACAATGAATGATCTATAACTTGTGTTGGCTAGATCACTAAGACCACCCCTAGGTTCGATAATTCACTGAAAGGACTCACAAGACCCAGTATATTGTACTCAGAGTTATGATTTATTATGGCAAAAGGATATAAAGCAAAATTGGCAAAGGGTAAAGGCTCATAGTAGAAATCAGATGCAAGCTTCCAGTGTCCTTTCCCAGTGGAATCACGCAGTGTATATTGAATTCCCACAGCAATGAGTTGTGACAACACGTGTGAAACATTGCCCACCAGGGAAGCTCATTAGAGACTCAGTGCTCAGGGTTTTTATTGGGGCTGATCGAGTAGCGCTCTCTGCCTGGGATGTACTTCAGTTGCAGTCTCCCCAAAGGAAAGCAGATATTCAGTATAAACCATATTGTTTGTTCATACACTTTAGGCACAGTGAGCCACTCACTCTTACTGGTTAATGGTGGGAACTGTCCCAAAATCTAAGTTCCCAGATGCCTGCCAAGAGCCAATCTTGTAAGCATGACTTTCCCAGTATAGCTAGCTGTTCAAGCTTACTACGTTGACTCTTTTCTGCACAAACTATATAAATCTCACAAACATAACATTGAGCAAAACAAGCCAGACACAGAAGAGGACCTACTAAATGATTCTATTTATACGAAGTACAAAAACAGTCAGAAGTAATCTATAGTGTTTGAAGTCAGAATAGTGCTTACTCATGGAGAGTGGGGTTGGGTAATGACTAGTAGGAGACACAAAGAGGCTCTAGGGTGCTGAGAATGTTCTGCTTCTTCATCTGACTGCTAGTTATGTTCAGTTTGTGAATTCTTTGAACTGTGCACTTATATGTATATTTTTCCATTGATATATTCAAATAAAAAGTAAAAAAAAAAAGTCAGTCATGGTAAACTGCTAAGAAAGTATACCTTTTGTACTGTCATGATAAGACAAAGGAGAAGATGACAGAGTGTGGTGAGAGAGAGTGCAGTGTTGTAGAAATGAGCACAAGCTTTGGAGACAGGCTTAGTATGATTTCTAGCTCTGCTGTTTAGTTTTATAAGTCATTTAATACCTCTGAGTAAGTTTTTTGTCGCTTGCGGAGCCTGAATTTCCTCATTTGTAAAATAGAAATAATAGTGAACCTACTATGAAGAGTTATGAGGATTAATAAAATAGTGTATATATGTATATAAGCACCCAGCACAAAGATGTTGTTATAAGATTTGAGGAGGGAAGGAAATTAGTTTCTAGATTCTTTATGCAATGTATGGTATTATTCAAATCTGAAGTACCATAAGAATTATTATCATTTAACCAAAGGTTAAATTACATTAAGATGTAGTATTAAGTATATGTTATGAACTTTAATTATTTGAAAGTTGGGTTAGATACATTTAATATTTCTATTAACTTTTAATTTGTTTTTTCATATTAACTTTTTAAAGGAAAAGTTTTATTTTAGCCAAAACATGTTATTTTTGCAACAATCTGAATAAACAGGAATTTTCTATGCATTATTAAGTAGAGTATTCGCAGATATGCACAAATTTCAGATGGTCAATTTTGAATCACACTAGGGAAATCAATATATAATAACTGCCGGAGGTGAACTTATGTAAAAAACTAAAAAAAAAAAAAAACAAAAAAACCCATTGCCATCGATTCATAGCAACCCTATAGGACAGAGCAGAACAGCCCCATAGGGTTTCCAAGGCTATAATCTTAACAGAAGCAGACTGCCACTTCTTTCTCGCACCGACCTTTCGGTTAGTAGCCAAATGCTTAACCACTGCGCCATCAGGGCTCCTTATATAGGACCCTTGAATAATAGCTATTAGACAATTTGGGATATAAAACTCATTAAGACATGTTTTCTGGAACTTAAAAGCCTCATCAACTGTTATATGACCGTCATGCCAAGTTATTGTAAAAACTTGCTATGGTATCCTGAGCTTAAATACACTTTCCTTGTTGTGACATCAACACTATGAGTGGGTCATAGTCTGGTAAAAATGAAAACTATTAACTCATTGAATTATCTTGATTGGTTACGTTTGCTGCTAACTTGAAACATAACCATATTAATTTCTTATCATACCAGTTCAACTCTTTCATTTCCGTCATAAAAGAGATGCTTAATAGATTGGAGTCTGAACATAAGACTAAACTGGAACAACTTCATATAATGCAAGAACAACAGAAGTAAGTAGATTGTAATGAATTGTACATGGTCCAGGAGTGAGATGAAAGTTGTATCATGACTGATTTTATGGAATATGGAATAGAAAAATTGCTGAATTTTAATTTGACCATATGTGTAAAACATTCTTTCAACATAATAAGTTGAATTGAGTTAAAATGGGGTGTTGTTCAAAATCTAATGTTACTTTTGAACACAAAACTATAATATGTTATAATTTTAGTATTTTCTGTACATAACGAAAATTCTATTCAGAGAAATTCCCTTGTCAGCATTAGCCACTAGCATTGTAAATTCAGGTTGCTGATCCCTCAGGGCACTACTTATAAATATTTTTCACATCTGTGGTGTTTTGATTTATCCCTTTCTCTTTTCTCAAACCTCCAAAACATTTCTAGGGCATTCATTTCATATGTGGTACCACACTACCTACCTCTTTTTATTTTTAGGGAAGATTTCCTAAATTATTTGCTAAACACTTCAAAGAGAAGTTGAAGAGAAAAGATGAAAATTGCTAATTTATGAAAATCAAAGCTCCACTGTAATCTTTGCCCCGGAGCAAAACACATGACTTTAGACTGCCTGTTAGCATTTACTCCTGAACCAAAAGACATCTGAAAAATCAATAAAATTGAGAACAGTCATGAACAAGTCCCCCAAGTGGAAATTCTTTAGCTTCTGCCCCAGTGTAACATGAAAGCTTCTGGAAAGTAAATATGTGTAGAATGAGGTGAAGTAGAACCTAAACAAACTGTGTATGCACTGAAGTATTTTGTGACATATACCAATCCCATTGCCGTCGAGTCGATTCCAACTCATAGCAAACCTATAGGACAGAGTAGAACTGCCCCATAGGGTTTCCAGGGAGTGGCTGGTGGATTTGAACTGTCGGCCTTTTGGTTAGCAGTGGTAGCACTTAATCGCTGGGCCACCAGGGCTCCTTGTGACGTATAAGTATGTGATATTTGATGGATTAACTGTTTCAACATAGAAACCCTGAAAAATAATTTTTTAAATTTATTTGTTGTTGAGAATATATATAGCAAAACATACACCAATTCAACTGTTTCTGCATGTACAATTAAGTGACACAGATTACATTCTTGGAGTTGTACAACCATTCTCACTCTCCTTTTCTGAGTTATTGCTCCCCTGTTAACATAAACTCACTGCCCCCTAAGATTTCTGTCTAATCTTGAGTTGCTGTTGTCACTTTGATCCCATATAGATAGTTCTTAAAAGAGCGCAATACTCAAAGCAGACTTTTTCTTTTTAACTAGTTTAGCTAAACTATTGTTTGATTTTAAGAAGACTTCAGGGGTTATTTTTGGTTTAAGGTTTAAAGATTATCTCAGGGCAATAGTTTCAAGGGTTCATTCAGCCTCCATAACTCCAGAAAGTCTGGAGTCCATGAGAATTTGAAATCCTTTTCTGTGTGTTCCCCCTTTTGATCGGGACTCTTCTATAGAATCTTTGTTCAAAATGTACAGTAATAATAGCTGGACACCATCCAGTTCTTCAGAAAAAAATAATTTAAAAAAATTTATAACAAAATTTTAATATCTAGTATTTGTACTAGATTAGCCTTCTTTTTCTTCTACCTTTCTAAATCCTGCCTATTTTTCAAGGCATAGATCTGGCCCACATTATGGTGATTATAGCATTTATTGTTAGTATCACAGATTTTAAAACTTAAGTTCTCCATATCATATCTTCTCTCTTAGTGAGATATTAAGCTCTTGAATGCAAGAACCATGCTTGCCTGGTTTTATGATACTCTGAGTAAATTCTTTACAAAATCTCAAATGATAAGTTAAAAAAAGATGGATATACAAATGTTAAGTTTTTGGGCAAGCAGACATTAATAACAAAGTAATGGAACAGGTTATGCCTTTTCTTAAAGAATGAAATTACAGTTTGTTTAGGTTCTAACAAATTTTCCATGTGGATAAACTGTATAAGTATTTTAAAAGCATGCATTTCTGTTTATTGCTTATTTTGTCATAATTCAACTCTCTCTTGCAGATCTTTGGACATAGGAAATCAAATGAATGCTTCTGAAGAGACAAAAGTTACAAATGTTGGGAGTCAGGTAAGAAGGCATTTAAATTATTTTAATTTTTGTAGAAAGTACTTGACAGTGTGCTTTATTTGGGGGCTCTTAATGTTTAAGCAGTAAAATCACATTTTTATTGACGTTTATTCAAACAGTGGACTTTTTTCCAATTTCAGCAGATTGACAAGGTCTTTAACAGCATTGGAGCTGACCTTCTGACTGGTGGTGAACCAGACAGTAAGGACGATGGGCTACATAGTAAACATAAAGGAGTAAGTTTCTTTGCTGTCCTTTTAGAATTCTCATTTACAATTATAGAACTTTCTGTAAACCACAGATTTTTGGTGGGAAATAGTATTTAGCATCTTTACAAGAAATATTCTGTAATTATCATCACACAATTTAAAAGTATCAGTGGAACATAACCTGAGCCATATTGAAAATAAACATGCTTGAGAGTTTTAGCTTCTTTTATTTTCAACCTCCTTCATCATAATGTTTCTGTATTTCCTGACTCCTTTATCCTTTCTGCTGCACTTTGTCAGTCACACCCCATGGTAAATTCCACTGTGTCTCTTCTCTGCTTCTGCGCCTGTGTTGATGACTTAACTGCAGATTTATGCTGTCCATCAACCTTGGGCTTTCCCTGACTGTTGTTCTTTAGTATTTTAATTTCTGTACTGCTCACTCACTACATTCCTAACAGCCTAAGTTCCACATTTTTTCTATTCTTTTTGAGCCCAACAACCTCAACTGTCTTCTTTCCTTTCATTCCATAGTAAAATATTTTGGAGTGAGATAGATTAGTGTTGAACAAGATCTCCTAAGATTCCCCAAATCGAAAATACTTTGTAGGCACTCTCCTAAGAATAGAGACAAAAAATTGCCACAATTTTTTTGGACAAAATTCAAAATATAAAAATAATAGAATATAATTTTTACATAATATAGATCTTATTATTGAGAAAAACGCAGTTATATGGGGGGAAGATAACATTTTGCTTTAATTGTAGTTCAGCATTAGTGTTACCTGTCTCCCAAATCACTTAACCGTATTCTCATTGTCTGAAGAAAGATTATTTTAGTTTAAAAATAACAACTGTCATACTGGGAATGTTATTTTAGTGCAAATACTGTGAGTTTCTGCCTAAATTTAAATTTTGTAATAATTCAAAATATAACTTGCCTGTGAAAATCACCAATACAGAAAGTTTGCTTTTCAGTTAAGTAACAATTATCACCAAATGTACCAAGATGTAGTTTACCAAAAAAGAAATATTTTGTTTTATAAATGGAATTATGAAGTTGCCCACTGAGTTTTCATTTTATTTTGTTTTAAGGCATCACTTACACTTGAAGAAAAACAAAAATTGGCAAAAGAACAGGAGCAGGCACAGAAGTTGAAAAGCCAGCAGCCTCTTAAACCCCAAGTGCACACACCTGTTGCTCCAGTCAAACAGGTCAGTTTATTTCCTTTGTGTAATTTCAAGCATACTACTCATAGGGAGAAAGGTAGTATAGAACTTCATCTACTATTGTTTGTATAAAAATGTATTGCAAAGAATACTTTAATATGTAGTTTCTGAGAATTAGGGTCATAAAGGATTTTCCAACAACTCCACCATAGCCTGCCTAATGTATAATGTTCCATGACAGTGCATGTTACTGATAAAGAGGAAGCTACGTAAATAGGAGGGGTTCTTAAAAAGGATTAGATGTCATAGTACTAATTCAGCTCTTTTCGCTTTAAAATTATCAGGTAGTATATTCATGCTTTTAGGTATTCTTGAATTAAAAGTAATTTGCTATTTTGGGTTTTTCAGTTATGTTGTTGTTGTTAGTTGCCATCAAGTTGATTCCAACTCATGGTGACCCATAGTCAGGTTTATAGTTTCATTTAAGAAGACAAACACACATGACCTGACCAGTATTTATTTTCTGCTATGGTCCAGGCACTGTTATAGGTGTTTCGTGCTATGGCAGGGAATAAGATCCTTGTTTGTAGAGAGCTTACACTCTTACTGATTTCAGAAATAACTTTTATCTTAAAAGCTTTCTTTAAATTATTTTTTGTTACCTCGTAATCACCAAAATTCTTCCTCTGGAAGAAAGTCTTTGCTGGGCAAGATACAATAAATTTCTGCAGTTTTTTTTTTTTTGGACAAAATTCAAAATATAAAAATGATAGAGTATATTTTTTTATAATATAGATCTCATTAATGAGAAGAATGCAGTAATTTTGGGGGAAGATAGTATTTTTGCTTAATTGGAGTTCAGCATTAGTGTTACCTATCATCAAATTGATTACAAATGTTCATCGGTAAAAACCATATAGAAACAGGTGGCAGGCTGGATTTAGCCTGTGGGCAATGGTTAGCTGACTCTTGGTTGCACTTAATTTTAATTTACTCTTTAGAATTTCATCTATCAGATGTTTACTGAGTATAAAATAATTTGGACTTCTTGGAGATAAAGTAATTCCCTCATATTTTGCAGACTAAGGACTTGACAGACACATTGATGGATAATATGTCATCTTTGACCAGCCTTTCTGTTAGTACTCCTAAAATTTCTGCTCCAAGTACCTTCACTTCTGTTCCTTCTATGGGCCTTGGCATGATGTTTTCTACACCAGTTGATAATACAAAGAGAAATTTGACAAATGGCCTCAATGCCAACATGGGCTTTCAGACTTCGGGATTCAACATGCCAGTTAATACAAACCAGAACTTCTTCAGTAGTCCAAGCACACCTGGAGTGACAAAGATGACCCTGGGAACACCTTCCTCTTTGCCAAACTTCAATGCTATGAGTGCTTCTCCTGTTGGTGCGAAGCAGACTCAACAGAGACCCACAGATATGTCTGCCCTTAATAATCTCTTTGGCCCTCAGAAACCCAAAGTTAGCATGAACCAATTATCGCAACAGAAACCAAATCAGTGGCTTAATCAGTTTGTACCTCCTCAGGGGTCTCCAGGTATGGGCAGTACAGTAATGGGAACACAGATGAACATGATAGGACAATCTGCCTTTGGTATGCAGGGTAATCCTTTCTTTAACCCCCAGAACTTTGCACAGCCACCAGCTACTATGACCAATAGCAGTTCAGCTAGCAATGATTTAAAAGATCTTTTTGGGTAAGGTGTCTTGCTCCTATTTTTGAAGGATTACTTCCATTTTAATCATGGGTGAGCTGATTTACATCTCTGTAGAGTTGGCTTGGAATAACTACTTCTGTGGGAAATTGAATGGAAATTGAATGGTTCTGTGACAGAAAACACCTGTTTCCATGTCAGCGTAGTAGTTGTGTGGACTGCTAACCCAGTTGAGTTTTTTAAAGCATTGAGGATTTTTTTCCTCTTACCAACTCCTTCAGGTTTTTAAAGACCTAACCCTTAGCAATCTCAAAGAAAAAAAGGACAATTGAATATCCTGAATAGCAGAATTTTTTAGTCACATGTTTTTTTTGGCTTGTACATCTTGATGTTATAAAAAAAAAAAAATTTGAGTTGATGGTAATTGCAAGTTTCATCTATTAAGTACTACATGGTATACATTCTATCTTCACAAGTCATTAGTTTTCATTTTAATGTGTGAAAAATCTTGATGCTGTATTAGTTGGTTTGCATTAGTATGACTGAGTAAGAAAATGATAAGCATAAAGAAAAGGATCAGGTTATTTGCTTTTTCCAATTTTACTTACATCTCAAATGAACTAATGTTTAGTGCAAAAGACTGAGCAAATACTACAAAATTCAACTTACCTTGTTTTCTTTGGTTCAAACTATAAGCATCATTAGCCATCTTAAATGCAAACTAATCACTATAAATTATATTTTAGCATGGTCTGCCTCAAATAGTAATGTATTTTTCTGCATTAACTTGGCTATATTTAGAATCACTTTTTCCTACTGTATCATAGACAGAAGAGGTATATACTGATTTGTACAACTATTTGACAGAGCACTCGGGTGTGACTTCCTTGACTACTGCCTTCATATTTTCATTTTGAATTCAAACTTCTGAGGTTGCAGCATATATGAATTGCATTTTCAAAAAGGATATTTGTAAGAATTATACTATATTTAATGAGTAAACTTTTGAGATTCCTTGCTGTATTATTTTGAATGTAATAAACTTTACTCCTCTAAAAATGAGCAGCTGTATCTTCTGGCTACCAACAGATTAACTTTCAGTTGCCATGATAAAGTCTGACCTCATCAATTACTGTTACTGAAGTTTAATTTCTTCCTTTTCTAGGAATTTCAGAAACTTTTTGTTCTAACATCTTAATGTCCATATTAGCCATTATTAGGAAGGAAAGAATAAATTCTTCTAACAGGAGACATGATTTTTTTTCAAAGCCTTTATCTGATACTTTTCTTTAATTTGTTGCTTATTTAACCACAGAGCCTTATGCTATAAATGTCATTTGTATTTTCTTCAATTATATTCCACCATTATGTGATAACTTAAAACTTATCTTTCAAAGAACTGTGTATGTATTATAGTTACTGCCATAGAATTTGTGGCTTTTTGATTACCTAGAACCAGCAATCATTTAAATAAATCATATGAAGTTTAGTGTGCTGGTATGAAGTTTATTCATTGAATATGAATATTCATTCAACATACACTCAATATATATTTTGAATATAAAGCTTAGTAATTTGATTATAATGTAATGTGATGACAACTATTGCTGGCAGCTTTTAATAAGAGGGTACTTAAAAAAAACAAAAGGTCAACCTTTACATCTGGTTTCTGTATGAGCTGTACTTTATTAAATGGTTTTAGAAAAAGGACAGATAGGAGTGCTGAAGAAATCAACAAGTAAAAACAATAGAAAGATCAAAATGTTTTTGTCAAATATATTTACAACTGGACCAGATTATCTGCCTTGTTTGTAACACAATATTAATACTTCTTTTGAGAAAATTAACATATGCAATAAAGTTGCTTAATGTTGAGAATTTTTTTTTCTTTGTAACAATTCAGTAAGTCACTGTTTATTGGGAAATTGTTTTTTTAATTTTGTAAAATAACTTGATGTCAGTGTTGAACTCCTAATTAGAAGGAATACGTAATTTAACACCTTGTATAATTTGAACTTCTAAATGTAAGACTATATTATTTGAAAAGATATAATATGTAATTCCTAGGTAATTTTCACATCTTGAAATTTGCTCATTTATTGGGGTAATGGTGCTACATTTTTATAAAATTTTTCTATACGTTTATTCTACTTTGTTGAAGGTATTTTACTTAGATCATTTCCATCAACTGAATGGTTCCCATTGCCTTTTTCTGCTGAGAAATTACCTCTGAAAAAAATAGACTGTACTATTTTCGGACTTGTGTTTCTATATGAACAACATTTTCAAAGTACTAGATGACCTTAAAATTATTTCAGGTTATTAACAGCATTCAAGGCCCTTGTGTTTAGAGTAGAAAATGGTAGATTAAAGAACAACTTGTAGACAAAAATTACAACAAATATTTCCTTTCATTTGAATTGATTTTCTCCTAATGCTAAAGTGGGTGATACATGTAGATGATGTATAGAAGGAGTGGAAATAGACTATGGAGCTTTGGCAGTTTTTTGTCTTTATTTCATTTTTTTGGTTTGTGTTTTGCAATGCTTACAACCCTTCTTTACACTGAATAAGTTAAGGACGTAGATTTTTTTGTTTTGTTTTCTTTTTTTTAAATCTAAAATACCTCACATGGTTGCTTTTGCATATTAGAGGAAAAGGTATATGTGAAAATACCTGATAGCAAGCACAGAGTATGCACCAAATAAATTTTAGCTTTGATAAAACTTTTCCATATTAAGTTGTGATTTCATGCTTTGTGATTTACTGGTCTTAGAAACAATTTTAGAACAAAACAAATCTAAGAATCTGGCGCAGGACCCAGCAGTGTTTTTTTCTGTTGTCCATAGGGTCGCTATGAGTTGGAACCGACTCCACGGCACCTAACAACATAACAAGAATGTAAACTATACAGGCCTTTAAGCGATTATCTGTCAGTGGCTTTCCAACTGTAACTGTGGCAGTAAGAAATTCATTTTACTCTGCAAACCAGTGTATAAAATAGATACCTGAAACAAAAGTTTCAGAAAATGTCTTTAATAAGTGCGGAGTACATTGATATTTCTCATTCTACCCTATGGGGGGGTGGCGGGGAGAGCTGCTTGCAATCCCTAAAAAGATATGAAGACTCAGTTGGAATAAAACTGAAGTAATTCAGCCCTGTCCTTCTTCAAGTGAGTGTAGATACAGAGGGCCAGAGAGCTTATGTGGCTTAACCCAAGGGCTATAAGAGGACAGAGCCAGGAATAGAAGCAAGGTTATTTTCTAATCTGCAGTCCAGTGCTCTTTATCACATTGCATCCCTTATTGTATGACTTCTTCTGGAGGTATTTTTGTTGAGACTGGTTTATGTAGCAAGTATGTGTTGAGTACTTACTGTGTACCATGGATTTATTTATATTGGAAAAAATTGGCATTGAAGGGGGAAAGGTGAGAGAGATGACCCACCAGAAATGTACTTAGGGAAAGTTAGTGTCTCAGCTGCTTCTCTGAATTGTGGGTGAGGGGGGCTAGAGGAGCTGGGTTAGCAGCACTTGCAGTACCTGAACACATAACTAAAAGACATACAACCTTGAGGAGGAGGGGTTGTAGTTGGCAAAGCCATTTAGCCAAAATGGAGCTTGTTGGATATTAGAACCTTTTTCTATCCAAAGCATCCAAGTTACCCCAGTGACTAGGAGGATTTAAGTACCTGGGGTGCAAGCCACATACGTAATTAAAATTTTTCTGGTAACTACATTGAAAAAATGAAAATAACCAAACCAGCTGCCATTGAGTTGATTCCAATTCATGGTGACCCCATGTGTGCTGGAGTAGAACTGTGCTCCATAGGGTTTTTCATGACTGATTTTGGGGAAGTAGATTGCCAGGTCTTTCTTCAGAGGTGCCTCCGGATGGACTCGAACCTCCAGTTTTTCAGTTAGCAGCTGAGCACATTAACCACATGCACCACCCAGGGACTCAAAGAAAATAGAACTTAATGTATTTTATTTAACTTAATATATCTAAAATACTATTCCAACATGTAACTAATATTAAAAACCTTAATGAGATATTTTACATTTTTTGTACTGTCCTCAAAATCCAATGTCTATTTTAGTCGGAGTACGTCTCAATTCAGACTAGCCACGTTTCAAGTACTCAGTAGCCACATGTGGCTATTAGCTACTGTATTGATGTATATGGAAGCTGAGTAGCTAAAGAGGTAAACTGACAATTATCAACTTACTGTCTCCAAGCTCCAAATCCATCCTTCTTTGCCCTGCTTTGTTATTCTGGAGCTGCACACTAAACTTGGCTTTTTTGTTAGCTGGCCAAATGTTAGCCTTCATCAGGGCAGTGGAGTGGCTGAGCAAGGCAGTAGCACCAGGAAGACACTTCTGGGTTCCAGTTCTCCATTTTTATTCATCTAGGGAGCCCAACAGCCCATGCAGAGGAACTCCAGCTACTCCCCCAGCCCTGCTTCCACGTAGGCCCTCAAACAACTCGCCACACCCTCAGGCAACTGTCTCCCCGACTCTGTGGGCCATGCCGTCTGGAGTGTTTCTTTACCACTGGTATGCATGTTCCTGTGGAAATTATCCCCTCTTCAAAGAAGTCTGACTCAGCCTTGAGGGGAAGAGAACCTCTCCTAGTCTTTCTTTAGTTCCTTTATTTTTCATTTTCCCTTAGCCTACAAGTAGTAGCTTTTTTTTTTTTTTTTAATATCCTTAGAGTTCTCTTAATAGTTACCCACCTTCTAATAACCAAAAAAACCCAAACCTGTTGCTGTAGAGTCGATTCCGACTCATAGCGACCCTATAGGACAGAGTAGGACCACCCCATAGAGTTTCCAAGGAGCACCTAGTGGGTTGAAACTGCTAGCCTTCTGATTAGCAGCCGTAGCTCTTAACCACTACGCCACAAGGATTTCCCAGCTTCTACTAGTTAACAGTTATTAAAATTTCTCTGTTCAAATATCTGGCATGGTTTCTGCATCCTCACTGAAATGACATACTCTGGTATCTGTTAATAAGCCATTTTAAAATGAGGCCACATGATATATATTTACGCTGTTAACAAAAGCCATATGGAGTTGTATGTACCTAACCTATATTAATTAAAACTTCCCTTTCTACAAGTTATTTTAAAATGTGCCTGTAATGGAATATGGTTTAGCTACTTTAATTACACCTATTTGATGCAGTTCCAATTTTGTATTTTTTTCTTCCACTTTTTAGGTATGTTCTTTTGTGTGGTGTACAGTGTTTGACTTTCATATAAATGTTAACAAGATAGAGACTTTAATGTCTAGAGTTTGAATGTAAGAATCAACATTCATGCAGGTGCCTTCCAAGTCTATGTCCCTAAGTCTTCCAGTCTTTCTAAACGTGATGATGAGTAAAATATGGAACATTTCCATGGGCACACTGGAAGCATATAGAGGTGCATAGACTTTGGAGCCAAATAAGTTCGAAAACAAATTTCAGGCTAAAATTACAGCATCTATATGCGGGTGGCACAGGGGTGCTTTACACATTTGTTCCTGTGTTGGAACACATCCCAAATTGTTGTTAAGAAAGTCTTGTCTCTAACAGTGGGTGCTCTAAAGTTCACTTTTGTGAAGAGATGGGAAGACCTCTTATTGAGGCAGGGATCCTCACCAGACTGCTCACATTTCAGAAGGAGATACTGTCTCTACCCCCAGCTTCAGTAATTAGTGGATCTGCCCTTAATCAGCAAGGATGTCTGTACTCCAGGTGTCAGAGAACAACGGTTCACTCTCCATTGTCCAATACTTCAGAATCTCTTTTCTGAGAAATGTTTATGGATGAGTGCTAAAAGTTAAGTAACCCATCCATTTCTCAAGAAATTCAAAATTATATTCTTAAATAAAGCTCACTATAGAGACCTTTGTGCCGGCTTGTCTTGTTTGCTCCACATCGAGTTTCCTTTACCACACTTACCTTTGGACTGTGTTATATGAAAAATAAATTCATACTAAGGATGACATTGGTTCACTGTAACACACAATAGCTTCTTTGAGGACCTGCAGGAGAAATGTCAGATTTCA